CCCCCCCCAGCCCCAATGCTGATGGAATTACCAGGCCCGGGATGTCCACAGAGCTCACTCAGCCATGCTGCTCCGGGTGGGTGGGCTGGTTACAAGTCATGTAGTTTCCTCTAGAGCTGGGGGGATGGAGAGAAACCTGTCTGCCTGCAGAACACGCTGCACTGGAGAGTGCAGGTTCCAGGACGCAGAGGGGTCAGGGACACCCATGCCCTGGAGCTGTGCAGGCCCTCAGCTCCCTTCTGTTTACTTGAATCAATGAGCATCTGCTTAGACCTCTTCCTTCAGTTCACACCCACTGGGTGCAGGGCTCGGCTGCCACGACCTGGGCTGTGCCAGCGCCCACCACCCTGCCTGCAGAGTGAGCGGGAGGGCAGGTGTTGCTGGTGTTTCCTCTCCCAGAAACTCCCTTGCAGGGGCCTGAAGCAGGAGGTTCTATCCCAAGGGGCCTCAGCTCTCGACCAGCCGTGCAGCACCTTCCCCACCTCAGGTCCCATGTTCCTGCCTCATGGGCAGTAATGTCCCACATCCCACCACCCGGCTTTCACATTTGCTGCTCTAGGGACGAGGTTCCCCGGGGCTGGCGTGTGGGGAGAGGGAGTCTGGGCTGACCTCCCTTTGCGCCAGGCGGAGAAGGACATCCTGGAGCAGAGCCTGGACGAGGCCCTGGAGAGCAAGCAGGAGCTGGTGAGCCGCATCCACTCACTGCGGGAGCGTGCGGCAGCTGCCGAGCTGCAGCGGAAGCAGGTGACCCTCAGGCTTCACTCTGGGGAAGACAGATTCTCTAGCACACATGGAGTTAGAACCAAGTTGCCTAACTAACACATCGTTCATTCACTTATTCCTGTGTCAAAGCCGTGTTGAGCACCAGCTCGCGGCCCGAGACCAGCGGTCACAGCTAGTGGGTGGGGTGGTGAGAAAACAGGTCTGGCAGATGGGCAATGAGGACAAGGCCGCGTTGAGGAGCTTGGGCCAGGGTGGGAGCCAGGGACTTGCAGAGTTGCTACAGAAGGTGAGGGAGGATGGGAAAGGAGCCAGGGGGTGAGATTGAGGCAGGCGCAGGGAAATTATTTGTGCTCCGCTCTGGGGCGGGGAGCGAACAGAACAACTACACATGTAGCACCCACTCGCGATTTGATGGCTCAGTTCAGTGTGCTGAGCACAGCATCTGCAGGTGCTCCTGGAAATCGGCTCTTAGGGGACAGGCCCAAATTCACCGTTTCTCCTTGGCACCGCTGTGGGCTCCCTGATGCCCCCCACCTCCATGGGCCGTGTCTGTCCCCCTCTGTCCAGTACTGGGAAGAGAAGGAGCAGACCCTGCTGCAGTTCCAGAAGACGAAGATGGACTGTGAGCTTTACAAGGAGAAGATGACTGCCCTGCAGAGCCAGGTGGCTGAGCTGCAGAAGGAGCGGGACCAGGTACCCAGAGAGGCAGGTGGGGCCTGAGGCAGTAGGAGCTGTCGGCTGCTGTTTCAGGAAGCCCCTGCTTCTGTGTGCTTGTGGCTGAGGGCTGGTTGGCTGCCCTGTGAAGCTGGCCCTACCCTCCATGGTAACTGGTTCCAGATTTGGGGTCTCTCCTTGGTCCACACAGCTTCTCATCTCCCACCATTGTCACTGGCTGAGGTGCTCACTGTCCAAGACTAGAGGTCACATCTGGTACCTCCTTTCATTTTTGTGCACACGCACAGACTGGATGTGTCACCACACACGTAACACAACTGTGAACAGATGGTGTGTGCCTGTCCAGGGAGCCCAGTGTTTGCCACACACCAGGCGCGCGAGTCAGGATCCACACAGACGAGAAACTGTGGTGCTCTCTGGGGTGGCTCTGACTGGGACTCGTGGGTTCTGCTTCCCAGCCTCTTCATGCTCTGGGTGTCCTTGTGTCTTGCCCACAGGCCTACTTGGCCAGAGATTCAGCCCAGGTGGAGATTTCTCAGGGCCTGACAGAGAAGGATGCCCTCCGCAGGAAGGTCTTTGAGCTGACAGACCAGGTCTGCGACTTGCGCCAGCATCTCCGCAGGCTGCAGGCCAAGTCACCGCAAGAGGTAAGCCCTGCCTGCCGTGTGGGCCCTGGAAGCAGGGGGCAGGGCTGGAGACTGCCAAGTGGGGTGTGCGTGGAGTGCAGTGGGGTGGGGTGTGGTGGGAGCCGAGCTGGGGTGGCACATCAGCCATGTGCAAAACCTGTATATATATATATGTATATATATACACACATGTCTAGAACAGACTGACGACAGAGTGCACAGGCTGACTGCTGTGTCTGTGTGTGGGAGGGTGGGCAAAGTCTTTAAAAAAATTTTTTTTATTGATTTCAGAGAGAGGAAAGGAGAGGGACAGAGAGATAGAAACATCAATGATGAGAGAGTCATTGATCTACTGCCTCCTGCCCACCCCCTACTGGGGATTGAGCCCACAACCCAGGCAGGTGCCCTGGCCAGGAATCAAACCCTGACCTCCTGGATCATAAGTTGACACTCAACCCCTGAGCCACACCGGCTGGGCAGTGGGCAAGTCTTTGTTCTGTAATTTCTCTGCTCTCCCCACCCCCCATTTTCTATGTGAAGTAGGTGTAGATGTATTGTATGTACATTAGGCACCATTTATATAACCAGTAAGGAACTACATATACTCTCTAACAGAAATGAAATGCTGCTCACCAAGCCTGTTGCTGTGTGTCCTGGTGGTCAGCAGGGGTCCCAACTGGGAAGAGGGGACATAATATTTAGTCTGGAAGCTGATGAGAGAGGGTGGAGATGGGGGTGGTGACTGGGTAGAAACCCTGAGAGCATCCAAGGGGCCCATTCCTGAATTAACCAGCCGGTCCGGCGTCTTTGCAGCCCAGGCAGGAAGCGGGGCCCAAGGAGCCCTGTCGGAGGGGAAAGCAGCGGCTCATGCGCATGTTCGCCATCTGCCCCCGGGACAGCAGTGACCTCAGCTGCCTCAGCTCCTCCGAGGTACAGCCGGTGCCCCTCCACTGCTGGGGACAAACCAGGTTCAGGCAGAAGGGGGCTCGGCATATAGTAGGTGCTGAAGAGATACTTAAGTAGATGGAGGGCTGCATCCAGGCCTCCATTGTCCACCTGATATTCTCCAATCCCCACTCAACATCTTGCACGGTACACCTGTCAGCACGTGACCCTCCCTAGCCAGTTACCTGGACTCTCAGGGCCTTGATCACTTTATATGTAGAATGGGACAGTATTGCCCACTTCATGCATTTATCGTGAGGATTAAACGATATAAAGTATAGAAAGCAAATAGAGTGCTGGCACATAGTAGCTGTTCAACTAATGTACCCTGGTTGTGTGCTTCTCCCTCCCCTCCCTCTCCCTCCTTGGCCCTGATGTTAGGGGCCCTGACACATTCCCTTTCCTTAGCAGGGAGGGGCTGGGGGTGTCTTGCGTGAACTCCGTGCTAACCCTGCTTCATTATCCTCCAGTCTCAGCTCTGGTCGGACCTGAGCGCCACGTCCAGCCGCGAGCTGGTGGACAGCTTCCGCTCCAGCAGCCCTGTGCCTCCCAGCCAGCTGTCCCTGTATAAGCGAGCCACAGAGGACTTCCGGGAGGACCCCTGGTCTTTCAGGTAGAGCAGGACGAGCGTCAGGGTTGGACGATACCGGTCCTCTGGCAGCTCACCAGGGACAAGGGCTGGGCAGGTGCTGGGTGCTCCAGGTCTGAGACTGGGAGCAGGCTATGCGGCCTGAGCTGTCTTCCTCTTTCTCTCTGCAGTGGCTTCTCAGAAATCCTGGAGGGGGACTGGGGAGCCTCCCCGGGAGCTAAGGTGGGTGACGCAGACCTGGATTACGAGATTGTAGACAGGACAGGTGAGTGCAGCCCTCTACCAACCTCTGCCACCGCCCCCGTCCGCAGAGCTGGGCCACAGAGCTGGGAGGGGAGGTGAGGACAGGGATCTCCAGGTAGGCAGGTGAGATGACCAGGTCTCCCCAGGGGCCCAACAGAAGGAAGTAAACTGGACCGCTGCCCTGACTGGGGCCTCTGGCGGTTCAAGCCGGTGCCCAGCTGCTCTGTATCCTGGGTGTCCTTTCTGTTGTCACCTGGCAGCTGAGGGAGTTGATCTGTCTCCACGCCCAGCTTAGTACAGATATTCAGACAGCTGCTCTCTCTTTCCCCTTGCTGCCCTGGACCATGGACACTCAGGCCTTCCGGGAACAGCAGATGGCAACAGGCTGCATTCCCTACTGCTCCTGGCCGAGGCACCCTTGGGAGCATCTCTCCTCCTGCGTGCTGGCTCCTGAGACCTCCCCTTCCTCCTGTGGCTTATTCCTATCTGTGACTTAACTGGTCCTCTCTCCTCAAGCCGTGGGCCCCTCACAGACAGCTCCTTACCTTCCAAACCTGCAAACCTGCTGCAGCCTTGGGCCTCACACACAGTAGGCACTCAGCACCCCACCTGGGATTCATCCTGTGGCCACCAGGGGGCGCATGCACCCCGTGCTCCCCTTGCTGGTCCACTTAGATGCACTTGTGTGGTGGGGCAGTGGGTCGTGTGACCAGAAATCCGCTTTCCAAGATCACTGGTGGTTTTATTTGTAACAGTGATCGGTTGAGAGGATCCACCAAGGCCTGTGCAGCCTGGATGTGAGGTCATGGGGACAGGGGTGATGATTGCTCTTTCTTCTCTTGCTGTTCTGCTTAATGTCCTATTTTCAAGCACTTTTAGTAGAATTGACCTCAAATACATCAGGAGTGTCTAATTAACTTCATTTGGTTCGAATGTAATCATGGATAGATTTTTGCTTGTGAGCTGGGCACAGGCTGCTCTGGCAGGTAGTAAGCAGCTGTCTACCCTCTGCTGGCCCTCTGGTCCTCGTGGGCAGGTGGTCCACCAAGGGGGAGGACAGCCTCAACTGCCCTCAGGGAAACTGCTGTCTGGGCCCGGGGCCCATCTGCTTCGCAGGCTGCATGTTAAAATGCAGAACTTGGAGACCCCCTGGAGACATCGAGTCTTAAGGCTGCCAACTCAGAGGCCCCCACAGCCAGCAGCTGGCATGGCCTGGGGTACCAAGGAGGCAGCTGATGGCTGGGGCTGTCGCTGCCGTGCAGAAATGCAGGTCAGCACAGAAACTCAGGCCAAGGGTTCTGCCAGATCTGACTGTTGGAGTGAAGCCAGAAGTCCAGGTTCTAGATTTCCTGTCTTATAAAATGCTGGCAACATTCAGACACCACAAAGGACACGGTGTAAGTCAGACCCTGGCCAGTGCAGCTCTCCACCAGCTCCTTCCGTTTGGGGGAAGATGAACCAAGGTCCAAGCAACGAGGAAGGGTGGAGGACAAGAAGGCTCAGCTTCAGCAAAGGAGTGGAGGGGGGAGGGGAGCTGAGGGGACAGGTGGCGGGTGAGCGGAGCTCCTTCAGGAGTGCGTGACCTTGAGGGCTGGTTTCCTCGCCGTCTAAGCCTCTGCTTCTGCCTAGACCTTCTGGAGTCTGAGAGCATCCCGCAGCCCATCTCCAGGGGTCTCTGCGTCTCAGCCAGGTGAGCAGGGGCGGGGCCAGGGCCAGCAGGTGGCAGAGTGAGGACTGTTGGCAGGTGACAGCCGTTTTCAGGATGGGGTCATGGTGGGAAGGGAGGCATGGAGAATTCCAGAATGCTGGAGCTGAAGGGGGCTGAGGGAGAGCCCTGGCTGCCCCTTCTGCTCTGGGCAACACACGAGCTCAGTCATCCCTTTCTGTAGCAGTGCCCCAGTGCGGCGGAGGCCGGCCCGAAAGATCCTGAGCCAGGTCACAGTGCTGGCCTTCCAGGGGGATGCATTGCTAGAGCAGATCAGTATCATCGGTGGGAACCTCACGGGCATCTTCATTCACCGGGTGACCCCAGGCTCGGCAGCAGACGAGATGGCCTTGCGCCCAGGCACCCAGATCCTGCTGGTGCGATGCGGTGGCTTTCTGTTGTTTGTTTTTTAATGGTGATCTTATTGTCAGCTCATGTGTGTGTGTGTGTGTGTGTGTGAAAGAAAATACACATAATATAAAATTCACCATTTTAACCATTGAGGGCTTCTTATAAAACTTTTTAGTAAGATATTCATTATACTGCAGAAAACATAAATGTACAACTTAACTAATTATTATGAAGTGAATACAGTGGCAGGGAGGTGACTTTGATGTAGCCAAAAATTGAACATTAAGCTTTTTAACTATAGCGAGAAATTCACAAAATAGATGTCACCCATTCCTAAGACTCGCCTGCTCCCCCAGGAGGAAATCCCAGCCCCACAGTACATGGAAGGCCTTTCTCCCTTTGTCAGTCCTCTGGGGACTCTCCATTGTCCGCTCACATTGTGATTACAGCAGCAGAGCCCTTTAAGGTGTTTGGGGGATAGTCCTGAGACCCAAATGGAGCCAGTTCAGTTCCATTAGCATTAAAAATGCATCTTAACTTCTTACTATAAAAGTTCACGCTCTCCTCAAAGCAACGCAGGAACTGAATGGAGTGTGGACAGTGAGAGCCAGTGAGCGTTCACGGGGGGGGGGCATCTAGTGAGTGGAGGCCAGGGATGCCGCTAAACATCCTTCAGGGCCCAGGATGGCCCTGCTCCAAATGTCAGTAGTCCCAGAGGTGAGAACCTGTGATCTAGAATGCTCTAGAACGGAAGTCCATTTTGGAGAGCAGAAACTTGTCCCTTGGTGGTGGTCTTGGTTGTGGTGTGTTGGAAAGGGGTTGGTGGTTGACTGGGGTGGGAATGTGTGAGACTTGGGGGAGCTAAAACAAGATGTCCTGGGACAGGGACTATGACAGAGGCTCTGATGGCGTGTGGACGGCTGAGGGGCCGAGGGGGGTTCTAGTATGGGGTGCATGTCTGCACTCAGACTCTGGCCACTGAATCCTGGTCAGTAGCGCCCTACCTGGTGATTTGCCCACAGGTGGATTGTGAGGCGACAGACCCCTCCTTCAAGGCCGCCCTGGAGGGCAGGACCCTGGAGCAGGCTGTGGGACTTCTCCAGAGGGTGGATGGCTTCTGCTGTCTGTCTGTGAAGGTCAACATGGAAGGTACACACTCCCCCTCACCATGAGCTCACCTCTCAGGACTGGCCCCTCTGCCCAGTCTCATCTCTGTGAGCCCCTGGCTGTGCTGACTCTAGCCCCATGGCCCACTGCAGAGCCAGGGTGCACCCCAGGTCTACAGAGGCCCCCAAGGCAGCCGGGGACCTCCCACCCACTGACTTCGGCATCAGGATGGTTCCCAAGACTTTGGGGCCATACCTTCTGCCTCTTCTTCCAAGTTCCAGAACCTTCCTCATGTGGGGTCACTGCCGGGGCTGATCTGTCCTCATGTCCTCTTTGATCAGGTTATAAGAAGCTGGTCCAGGACCTGGAGGCCAAAGTGACCACATCAGGGGACTCCTTCTATATCCGGATCAACCTGGCCTTGGAGGGGCGAGCAGAGGGGGAGCTGCAGGCACACTGTGGTGACATCCTGCATGTCACTGACACCCTGTTCCAGGGCCGCAGCTGCTGGCATGCCCACCGTGTCAGCCCGTACAGCACGAGAGACACGGAGCACGGCACCATTCCCAACTACGCACGGTGAGCAGCTGCTGTGGACTGTGCCGCTTCCTGGAGGGGACACCACCGGGCTTACAGGAATGAGTGGGTGGGATGAGACACCCCAGGGAATGTAATCCCCAGTGTGCCACACACCAGGTTCACTGCTTGGATGGGATTTGTTTGTGGAAAGGATGGACCTGAGTTCTGAAGCATTCTAGAGCATTTTAGAGCATTTGGGGCCAGTTTCTCAGCACTGTGGACATCTGGGGCTGGCTCCCTCTGTTGTTGGGGGCTGTCCTGGGCACCACAGGGTACCAAGCAGCATCCCTGGTCTCCCTCATGCCCCCTACTTGTGAAAAACCAAAAATGTCTCCAGACATTGCCACTGTCCCCAGGAGGCAGGGTGACCAATCACACTGGTGTGTCCAGGACTATCTTGGTTTAGCACAGAAAGTCCCACATCCTGGGGAATCCTCAGTCCTGGGACTGCTGGGGCAGTGGCCACCCTCCCTGGGAGCAGCATCGCACCTGCTGAGAACCATGCCTCAGAGCGGACCATGGTGTCAGGTGTGGCACCTCTGAAGCCTCAAGCCTCGTGGCTCAGCTCAGCAGGTCCAGGGAGGCCTAAGACTGCCCCCCACACTCCCCAGGGGACAAGGCCCAAGTCCTCAGGCCACACCAGTAGTGAGGGTCAGGAGCTGCGTCTCCACCCAGGCTCACACCCAGGATATTCATTCGGCATCTCCAGGGTGGGCTCGGGCTTTGTGGGTTTTTCAGAGGCTGCCGTCTGGGGCAGTGGGGTGTTGGGAGCCCTCCTTGCAGTGGGTGGGTCTTCCCTCTCGCAGGGCTCAGCAACTGCTCATCGCCCTCCTGCAGGACGTGGCTCAGCAGAGCACCACCACCCGTAAGGTGAGGTCCTGCCCACTGGCCCAGGTCCTGGACAAGGTCCTGCTAGGATGGGCCCTGCTTCTCTCCTGAGATGCCCTCCTCCCCCAGCTCACATCACCTGCAGGAGGGGTCCAATCCACCTGTCTTCCCACCTGGGGTGGGCTGGCTAGGGGTCCCGTTTGGAGGATGTAGGCTACTGATCTGAGGGGGTCTCCCTGTGAGTCCCTCAGTACACATGCCCTGTGGGGAGACCCCTGCCTGAGGACCTCCCCCCTGCCTCCCTCATCTCTCCCAGCATGGGGCACAGGCTGTTCAGTGAGCATAGCCTGAAGATCCAGGGACCACCCTGGATGTCCCGGTGGGGCAGGTGCCAGGCCCTCAGCTTTGTGTGGATGGCGGGGACAACAACTGGTCTCTTTTCCTTCTAGCCATCTTCTGGAGGACCCCAGAAGTTGGTCCGCATTGTTACTGTGGACAGGACCAAGGCCAGCCCCCTGTGTTCATCCTTTGATGGGGCCCAGTCAGACCCCAGCGGGCTGGGAGGTAAGGTGGGGGTGGGGGTGGGAAAGGCTGCTCGCACCAGGAGGTGAGGGTGTTGGGAGGGGCTGCAGGCTGGTCAGCTTGGTCAGGGCACCGTCACTCAGCTGGGCAGGATCAGTGTTGTAAAAACCATAATTGGTGTCTGTGTGCCTTTCTGGAGAGCAGGTGAGCTCCCATCTTTAACGTCCTTCCTCCTATAATCTGTCCCATGAGGGTCATTTCTACAGACAGCAGTCCCTTTCGATGGACTAGTAACTACGAGACACCATCCAAACGTTACACAAACTGGGGCCCCCTCAGGTCACTCCCTGGTGTGTGATGGGGGCGTGTTGTCAGCACAGCACCTGCCCAGCAGGTAAAATCGAGCTGCGACAATGGTCGGGAGTGAACTTAGAGAAGCTAAAACAATCTGAGCTTATTTTCTTCTGGAAAAGTTTTTGGGTGCATAATATAAGGGGGTTGTAGAAAATGGACTGAAACTTGAATGACTGGGAGAGAGGTGGGACTTGGAGGAGGGAAGCACAGGATGTGTGTCCAGGCGGGCACTGAGGGGGAGGAGAGGTCCTTGGGAGGAAGGAAGAGGTCTTCTCCATCCCGCCTGCAGCCAGACAAGGCAGATGGATGAACCACAGCTGGAGGCTGGGGGCCACTCAGGGCTCTTCTCCTCTGTAGATGCCTCCACCGGGTGCTTCTGGGCGGAGAGCTGCGTCACCCTGGTGCCCTACACACTGGTGCGCCCCCACAGGCCCAGCCGGCCCCGGCCCGTGCTCTTCGTGCCCAGGCTGGTCGGGAAGATCCTGAGTGAGAAGCTCTGCCTTCTCCAAGGGTTTAAGAAATGTCCAGCAGGTTCGTTCTCACCTGGGGTCCCACCTATCTGCCAGGGGGCAGGGCCTTGGCACAACCCTCTGTGGGCTTTTGGAGAGAAGCGTGGAGTTGCCCGTGTAGGTCCTGGGGCTGCTGTGACAGGTCACCAAACACCAGGGCGCAAAACACCCAAGGTTACCCTCACGTCTGGAAGTTAGGCCCAGAGATTCCCCAAGCTGGCAGGGTCCCGGGCAGGGGTGTACAGCATGGGCTCCCCTAGGGCCCCACGTGGTTGGGTGTGTGACATTCCCATCTACTGGCATCTTCAGAGTATTTGAGCCAGGAGGAGTATGAGGCCTCCAGCCAGAGAGGGGACATCGTCCAGGAGAGGGAGACATCCAGCGGCCACCACCGGGTGACCCGCCCAGCTGTGGAATCCCTCATGGAGAAGGTAGGGCAGGGCAGGGCTGCTCTGGGGTATGGGGACTCCGTCTCCAAGGGTGTGGGGTGAGCAGGCCAGAAGCACTGGCTGTGACATGAGGGTTGCTGGTCGCCGGCCTGCAGGCCCCGGACCCCCAGGTTGGTGCTCAACTTGCTCTGGCTCGGTGTTTAGCTGCAGTGGGGCAGGAAGACCAAGCCCTGTCTTTGCCACTTAGGGTCCCTGTGACCTTGGGCGAGTCTCTCAACTTCCTGGAGCCTGTTTCCCCATCATGGAAGGTGTTTAATAGCTTTTGTTAAATGAATAAACAAAGTGGAAATAACACTCGTGTGTTGAGGCTCAAACAGATGTATGAAAAGAAGCTGCAGTGGACTATATATGGGTACAAAGCGGCCAGGACAGCTGACTGCTGGAGGCGAGAACCCGTTCTCCGCACCCCCATCCCCACGGAGGTCGAGGAGCCCCCCCCCAGGACTGAGCCCATACGAAGGCCCCCTCAGCCTCGACTTGCAGTTTCTAGGCTTCCCAGTTGAAACATCAAACAAATTTAAATTCTTTTATTACTAGAATCATTGCTTCATAAGTTGAGGTAGCATTGGGTAACGACAGGTGTGCAATGTTGTAATTTGACATCTGTGTCCAAGATCACTTGCATGCATGCCACCCAGCTTGGTTTCCACCCATCACCGCCCAACGCTTGACCCCTCACCCCTGTCTGCGTCCCCCCTTAACCAGCAATCTGTTCTCTGTATCTGAGTTTTGGTTTTTGTTTTATTTGTTCATTTTTTGTTTTGCATTCCACACGCGCGGGAAACCATGGTTTTTACCCTTTCCCATCTCACTTATTTTCTTCGCTTAATACCTCGGAAGTGGATGGCAGTGCTTAACGGTGTAGCAAACACCTTGAACACACGGGCATTAGCAAATTCTCTCCCTCTCTCCTGTGCAAATGCAGCCCTACCTGGTCACCTCCACCTTACTCCGGTCAAGGGCTCCCCCCACTTCCTCTGAGACCAAAGGCTTGCTTCCCCCCCCTCCCCCCCAGAACACCCACGCCCTCCTGGATGTGGGCCTGGACAGCGTGCGTGCCCTGCACAGGATGGAGATCTTCCCCATCGTCCTCCACGTTGCCATCAATGAGAAGGCGGCGAGGAAACTCAGGTTGGTGCTCCCGAGGGCTGGTGGAGGGCTCGCGCCTGGTGGGAGCGCCCTGGGAGGTCCTTGTGCCTGGGGAGCACATGATGGAGCCTCCTGGAAGTGTCCCAGGGCAGATCCCCCACAACCCTGGGACAAAGGTCCCCCTGCCCCCCACCCTGGGAAGCAGCCCAGACTTCTTCCACTGTTTCCAGACTGTTTCCACTGCTTCCACTCAGCAAGGCCACCGTTTACTGGAGCACATGGAGCAGTGTCCACGGTGGCTGAGGACCATGCTAAGACCATGACTTGGTTTATGGCTGGGGACAAACCCAGAGGTCCTGTGGCCCTTTATAATGTGACAAATGAGGTTGTAAACTAGACACCTGGCTCCACCCAGCCATGTCACCTGGGGTTGTGCCTCTTCGTGGACCCCTTGAAACTGGCCACCTGCATCCAGGGGCATTAGGTCCCCTAGAATCCTGAGCCAGGGCCAGCTCCCTGGGGCCTGCCCTGGGCAGTGGGCCCTACTCTCCCTGAGCCCGCCCCACCATCTCTGGCCCTGCAGGAAGGCCCTGCAGCGGCTGGGCACCTCAGAGGAGCAGCTCCTGGAGGCCAGCAGGCAGGAGGAGGGTGAGCTGGACAGAATGCCCTGTCCCTACTGCAGCCTGGCCCCCGATGGCTGGAGCGACCTGGACAGCCTGCTCGGCAGCGTCCGCTTTGCCATCTCAGACGAACAGAAGAAGGTCGTGTGGACCGAGCCGAGCCCCCGCTGATGCCCACGTCCTCTCCCAGGATGCGTGGACCTTTGAGCATGGGCCTCGCAGGCACAGCTTTGGGGTGCTCGCCGTACAAGCTCCCATTGGCTCCCCTCTCACTGGAGTCTGACCATGAACCTCACCACGTGCAGGTCACAAATGGGCAAACTGTCTTCTCATTTCTGTTAAAACGACCTCCCCTCACCTCACCAGGCCTGGGCATGGTCTGAACTGGACACCCTGAGAACGTTCCCACATGGGGTGTCTTTGGCATTCTCCCCAGAGCTGAGTCTGGATGTCTTCAGACAACTGCCCGTCGGACTGACCACTGCACTTCCTTTTGTATTTCAGTGCGTCAGAGGGCTCTAGGTGAGCTTGTACCTCTGCTCTGGGCAGGGGCATGACCTTGGGGGCCACCAGGGCTGCCAGCCGCCACCTCAGTGGGTTTGGGATTCATGTAGCCCTGGCTGTTCTCTGCTTCTCACTATTGAGATGCCTCAGTCACTCCTGTTTACAGAGACTATTTACCCCTGAATATCGTCTCCAAGTGATGGAAAGTGTCCTGGCCCAGGGACCTCACAGTCTTCTCCACAGGGTGCCGGCTGGGCTCCTCCCAGGACCGGGAACTGACCCTCTGCCCGGAGTCCCACCCAGGCCCATCTCAGGCCACCTTGACTCCAGCTCCAGGGCTCAGGCAGGGTCCCCAGGACCCCCCCAGACTGAATGTCATTGGACAGCAGCGGCCCCAAATCTGAGTGCCCAGGAAGCTGCTCTGGAACTCAGGTGGGCATTGCCATGAACAAGTTCAGAAGAGGGCTTTGGTGCGTTTTATTAAAATAAGCTTTTACAGTGTTCTGGCCCCTGGCTCTCTATGCCTCCAGGACGGAGCTGATGGGGAGGGAGGGGCGAAGGACCCCCATCCAGGGTGAAAGCCCCTTCCCGCGTTTTCCCAGGTGCAGCCTCTGCTCCTAGGGTGGGCGGGGCAGGCGGTTCTGGGACATTCCAGGAGCAGCGTCCACAGCAGACCTACGTGTCCTCCACACAGGGAACCAGCCTGAGGGTGGGGACCTCAACCCTGGACATGAGAAGGTGGATGACCACAGGATCAAACTCATCATTTGGGCCTGCTGGGAACTGGTGGCCCAGTGGAAACCCAGCCTGGGCCGGGAACTTGACCGTGGCTCTTTCCAAGGTTTCCTCAGAGCCAGAGTTATCAAGTCAATACTGCGCCCCCAGAGTGGGATCTGGGCCCACCCACCACCCACGTGGCACACGAGGCCTGGTCTCCTCCCGCGAGAAGGGCACAGGGACACCTGTGGTTCCTAGAGGAGAAGGGTCGAGCCCAGGATACCAACCCAGAAAACAAGACCCCTGGTCCAGACCACCCTCACCTGGCAAGGGCTGCAATCCCACCCTGTCCTAGGTCCCCCCTGGGATTCCTGTGCTGGGACACAGACACAGGGACAGTGATGTCCTGTGCCACGAGTTGGGGGGCTGGGCACACTCCCTCTACTCCTCTCCCAGCAGAGGCGCGAATGAGGCCAGCATGTGAGAGAGACCTCCCTGGATGGACACGGAGGGCTGTGGTCACTGCCCAAAACTGGTTGTGCCCGGGGCGCTCACAGCTCATTGTGGAGAGGCCGGCACTGGGGTGAGAGCCTCTCCTCCAGGACTGCATCGGGTGCGCACACCCAGGGGTCGTGGGTCTCCCACTGCCACTTGGCCAGCTGGGTCCGGAGCAGGTCCAGCACCTGGCTGTAGCGCGGGTCACCGGCCAGGTTCTGGGTCTCGTGGGGGTCCTGGCTGAGGTCGTAGAGCTCCCAGCGTGCCCGGTAGTAGAACTGGTGCAGGTCCTTGTACCAGCCCGTGGGCTGGCCGGCGGTGGTGCGGTTCAGGAGGTCCTGGAAGGTGGGCGAGACGTAGAGGTCCTGGTCCACTGGGAAGGGCATCCTGAAGTGCAGGTTGTGCACGAGGCGGAGGGCCCCCCGCTGCACGGAGCGCATGGGGTAGAACATGGTGGCCTCGTGCAGGCTCTGGCTGCCGAAGACGGTGGTCCACAGGGGCTCCGCCTCCAGCGCTGGCAGGAGAGACCGGCCAGTGAGCTGGACAGTCTTCGAGCCGAAGATGGCGTAGCGGGGGTAGGGGATGGAGAACCAGTCCAGGACCGTGGGTGTCAGATCTGCAAAGGAGGCAGGGTCAGCACCGGGCCATGCGAGGTGCCAGGTCCCCTCCCCCCAAAGCCTGAGTCCAAGCCACTCCGGAGAGCTGGCAGCCACCTCACACATGATGTAACCAACAGGGAGGGGATCCTGGGCCCGACACCTGTCCCTGCTGCCTGCTCCCTGGGCACGCCTCTAATGATGACACTCAGGGTCCTTCTAAAACCCTTCGGACCAGTGAGGAAGCCCCTACTGGGCTCAACTGTTCTGGGCCGTGGCCACAGTGTTCCCCACCTGTACTTTGGGACCAAAGGGAGATGTGTGTGGGCCCCAAGCTGCAGGGCTCAAGTGTGCTGCTGCCCTGACCTCAAAGCGGGGTCCCTGGGGCCGCGGCATCAGGATCTCCCAGGGCCGTGTCCGAGATGCAAATCCCCAGGCCCCACCTCCGATCTACTGGGTCAGGCACTCTGGGTGAGCCTCACTGTAGAACGGGGGTCCTTTCCTCACCCAGGTAGTGTGGGAACCACATAAGGTAGCAGGTGCAGAGCAGTCTGGACGTGGTGGTGCCACTAACTTTTTGCATCAGCTGCCCCCCTTCCCCGTGAGCTGCAGAGCCATACCTAGGAGGCTCACGTAGGCCTCGCTGACCTGGCCCCAGCGTTGTGGGTGCTCTGGGGACGACACCAGCAAGGGCTCCGCAGTGCCCGGCCAGTACAGGTTGGTCCTGCCATTGGGGAAGGGGATCCCGTTGTCGGAGGTGAAGATCACCAGGGTGTCGTTCAGGACGCCGGCTGCCCGCAGCTCCTGGAGCACCAGCCCTATCCCTGCAGGGCGGGGAGGGGGCACAGCTCAGCTGCAGGCAGACGGGAGATGCCGGAATAGGCCGAACACGTGCTCTCAGGCGCTCCTTCATCCGGCCGCTGGACACGCACTGTCCTTCCCACCAGCCTGGGCCTCTAGCCCAACACTGCGCCCAGCGCCCTGTCCTTGCAGGGCCTCCACCCGAGCCCTCCCTTCCCCTCCAGGGACGCCGGCCGTCCCCCAGCACATCCATGTCACCCCGCACAGCTGCTGGCTGCCATATGCTGGCTTCTATGTCTTCTGGAACCTCATGTCTTCCCTGTGAGACTGGTGGGACAGTCCTGGGCAGGGGCCAGAGACAAGTGTTCCTCTACACCCCCTCCCAGGTCACTGTGAACTAAGGGCCCCGGCAGGGAGGTGATGAAGGTACCAACCTCCAGCAGTGGGTGAAGGTGGTCCCCCCAAATGTACGTCTACCCGGAACCTGTGGATGTGATCTTATTTGGAAAGAGGGTTTTGAGTGATGTAATTGTCATCAATGTTAAGATGAGATCATCCAGAAGTACCCAGCTGGGCCCTGAATCCCATGACAAGTGATAAGAGGGGAGACACAGAGGAGACACAGAGGGGGCCACGTGGCCATAGTGGCAGAGCCCGAGTGATGCAGCCACGAGCCCAGGAAGCCTGGGCCCCCAGAAGCGGGAAGAGGCGAGGAAGGAATCTCCCTGGAGGGAGCAGGGCCCTGCCGACCCCGTGACTTCAGACTCCTGGCCAAGCCGTGGCACACCCGCCGCCAGGGCCCCGGACCCACCTTGGTCCATCCGGCCGATGGTGGTGTACTGAGCGGCCAGGTCAGCCCGGGCTGCCGGGGTGTCGGGGACGAAGTAAGGCACCTGAGGGCAGGCGGGCGGAGAGTCAAAGTTAGAGGCTGGAGGGACGGGTATCCAGCCCTCGAATTGGGGCAGAAAGTGGACGTGCTGGTGTCCGCCCAGGGCCTGAAATCCCTCCCCCTCCTGTGACTGGATTAGCCCCCAAATCCACCATTCTGGAGACGTCCTTACGCGTCTCTCTGCAGGCCCCACAGATGGGGACCTGGGCCCAGTGAGTCCAAGGGTCACTTCTGCTAAGTCACACACTTGGGGCCGGGGCTGGGAGCTCACGGGAGGCGCTCTCCCACCTGTACGTCCTGTGGGGCGTAGATCTGTGGGGTCCAGTCAGGGATCCGCCCCATGCCGCTTTCCCCATTGCCGAACTTCTCACAGAAGGTCCCGTACTGGGGCTGGGAGTGGCCGCAGCGGTGAGGGTCGTGGAAGGCCACGTACAGGAAGAAAGGCCTGCACAGGGAGGGGCGCGAGTGCTGAGGCCTGGCTTTCGACCCTGGGGGGGCCCATCCTTCAGGAAGGAACACCCCCCTCGGCTTTGCCTACTCTCCCTGACTGAGTCTCCTGGACTCCTCACTGCCTCAGTTTCCCCATGTCCCCTCTTCCTCTGACCCGATTAACCTGAGTGTCTGGAACCTTCTCCCTGACCCCCACGCCACTGTCCGGGGAATCTCAAAGATTCTGGGGTGTGCGTCCTGTGTTAACTGGCCACCGGAGGGAGGGTAAGGGGGCAGGGACCCTCCCAGGGACCCTCCCCGCACCTGCTGTCCCCTGTCTGCAGGAACTTCCGGACCAGCAGCTTAATTCTGGTGATGTTCCGCCCCACCTGGAGAACGGAGTCGTTCTCCTCCGTGTGCGCGAAGTCGAAGGGGAACACGGTCTCCGGCCCCACGTGTTTCTTCCCGATGATGCCTGGAGACCAGAGAGGCCTGTCCCGAGCCCCTCCCAAGGTCTCCTACACCCCTTGCTCCCTCCCCTGCCCCCAGCTCTGCACCCTGCACCCTGCCATGGCCTCCACGGAGGCAGCCCAGACCCTTATTCTCACAGACCCAGCCAGGAGGCCCAGATGCCTGGAGACCGGTGCTCAGAGTGGGCGACACAGGGCTGAGGGGGGCTCAGACAGGGCCCACCCCTCCGGGGCCTGTGGTGGGGAGCCCCTCACCTGTGCGGACGGCGGCTCCGCGTAGCAGCAGCGGCAGGCTCCGCACCCCGTCAAAGGAGCTGAAGTGGTGGACGCCCTGGTGCAGGCCGTACATCCCGTTCTGATGCTGCGGGCAGGGACGCGTGAGCCAGGGTGGGCCCCAACCACTCACTCAGGGGGCCTGTCCCTGCTCTCCCCAGTCTCACCACCCCGCCCCCACGGCCGGCTTCGCCTTCAGGTGGCCAGCACTCTCTCACGCCTCCCCCCACGACAGGTCCCTCCCTGGGGCTGCAGCAGGAAATAGGAGGCGGGAGGAGGCACCCCCAAAACAGGGGTGGCTTTCACTATCTCCTCTTTGCTCCTCTGCTTTGCAACTCTTCTCTCACGAGCACAGGTGGAGGGACGCGAGACGGCTGCAGAGCTCTTTCTAGTAACCGGCTGTTTAATAACGTAGCAGAGGTCACGGAACGTGATAAAACCTCTAACCAGAAAGACGTCCGCTGATAGGGACCAGCTCCCTCCTCACCGCTGCCCTGCCCACAGCTGCCTGGGAACCTTTCGGGAGGGTCTGTGCTCCGGCCACAGGCCCCCAACCTACGGAGGCTCCTACTCGCAGGCTCAGCCTCTCGGGGTGGCACAGGGCACACCTGCTCACCACACGCTAACGCCATGGGGGCCGTGGGGATGGGGGGTGAGCACATCTCGGTGAGGCCGGGGGTAGCGGGGGCGCACGCGACCAGGGGCGGGCTCCCCTCCACCAGGTCGGGGACCCTCACCTGGGGCAGGCCAGTGAGGAGGCTGGCGCGGCTGGGAGAGCAGCTGCTGACCGAGGTGAAGGCGTTGCGGAAGACCAGGCTGCGACGGGCCAGGGCGTCCAGGTGGGGGGTGGCGATGGCGCTGTTGTTGTAGGCGCCACTCTCAAAGCCCCCGTCATCCGCTGAGGACCGTGGGAGACACAGAGGACACGGGGGGCAGGGTAAAGCAGGGGCCAGGAGTGGGAGGGCAGCAGGCCTGGGGCCTGGAGGGGCAACGCTACCAGGCCTACCAGGCCTGTGTGGAAAGCGGGTGGGCACGTCCGCAGGCAGGGCACTAGGTGGGCATGCACCCAGGTGGGCTCGTTCGCAGGCAGGCCCGAAGGGGCTGCGTGGGGCCGGCAGGTTCTCCAGCGGTGTCCCCGGGGGGGCTGGGGAGCTGACGGGAGCCCCTCAGCGGAGAGCCGGTCATGGGGCAAGTAGCTGAAGGGCGCGGCCACAGACCACAGGGTTAATCAGAGTGGCCCGGGCAGAGCGCCAGACCTCAAGAGGGAAAGAACGGGGTTGCCTCGTGACAGGGGAAGTCTGGGAGCAGCAGGGCGCTGGAGGACCCGAGTTTCCGCGGCCGGGGAGGGGGGGGAGCAGGGATGACCCTCAGAGCTCTGGGGCCTGAAACGCCGCCGGGGAGGAGGCGAGAGCCCAGGAC